TTTTTTATACATTGCCTTAAAATAGATATATTAAATGACATATATTTTCTATTATCATTGCAATATTTATGACAATATACAGATTGAAATGGAAACTAACGGTTGTATTACATACTACATATTAGTTTTTTTTTATTTTTTTTTTCATTTTATTCATACGTTTTTCAATGCATTAATTTATATACATATTTTCTATAAGACATACTAAATTCTTCTCGGTTTGATTTAAGATATTAAATTAATGTCTTCGAACTTCTTGATTTCTATTCATTTGCCTCCTGGCATCCCTGGTGGAGCGGGGATAGGAAGTTCTGGAGGAACTTGACGGCGTACCTTAATTTGGATTTATAAACTTCATTTATTTACTCGAATTTTATTTAGTTGGGGTTTCACTTACTCTTGAGTCTATATGTTGGTCATTAATGGGCTGAAATAAATATTCAAAGCTTATATAAATTCAAGACTATAACATAATATGTATATAAGAAGAAGTTTTAAGGTTATGTTTAGTTAGTAAATAAATATGTGTAATATGTCTTACCTTTGGTGGTCGTGGCATCGGTGACTCTGCTTCAACATCTCGGCGTACCTAAATATTATTCAATATTTATGATTTTAATAATTAATTATAATGAAATTAAACTTACTCTGATCTCCTCAATCTGTCCATTTCTTTGCTAAATTTGTAAAAAAAAAATTTTGTTATAATTATATGAACCAATCAGTATCTGAATGAAAATATTATTAATTTGTATTATATTTACTTTTGGTGGACCTGGCTTTGGAGGTTCTGCTCCAACATCTCGACGAACCTAGAAAATTTTTAATATAGATAAATTTAATATTTAATTGTAATAAAACTAAACTTACTCTCATATCTTCAATTTGTCCATTTCTTGGCTAAATTTAAAAAAAAATTAATTTGAATTATATGTGAGAGAATCTGCATAAAAATATCAACTAATTTTTATTATAATTACTTTTGGTGGACCTGGCTGTGGTGGTTCTGCCTCAACATTTCTGCGTACCTAAAAAATTTTAAAAATATTTATGTCTATTTAATAGCATATAGTCAACTTGAACTTACTCTTATATCTTCTATTTGTCCATTTCGTGGCTATATTTAAAAAAAAGAATAGATTTGAATTATATATGAGAGAATGTGCATAAAAATATTATCTAATTTATATTATATTTACTTTTGGTGGACCTGGCTGTGGTGGCTCTGCCTCAACATTTCTGCGTACCTAAAAGTTTTGTAATATTTAGTATTTTAATATTTATTTATAATAAAATTTAACTTACGCGGATGTCTTCAATTTGTCCATTGCGTGGCTAAATTTAAAAAAAAGAAAGAAACCAATTGGAATTATCTATGAAGGAATATGCATGAAAATACTATGTAGTTGGTATCATATTTACTTTTGGTGGTCCTGGCATTGGAGGCTCAGCTTCAACATTGCGGCGACCCTAGAAACAAAATCATATATTAACAGAAGACTAATACTTTATGAATATAATAACCAGTTAACATATAAAAAATTTGTGTGTGTACCGGTAATAAATTTTAAAATAATTTAAATTAATTTTAATTTACAGTGTTGATTTCATATTATAATTTTATGAAATAATAAATTCAATAAACTTCAACTGTTTAGAGTATAATAAAGGATATATGTTTTAAACAATAAATATAAACTCAATTATTTTTTATTTAAGGTTCTGTTGATATTTATTTTTATAAATGCTTCATATTTGCAAATTTTTATTATATCCGATTTATTTCATTTTAAATAATTTATATAAGTCTAATATTATTTTTTTTTGTGAATAAATGGCACTTACCCGTGATTTTGCTGGAACCCATTTCTTGCAACTTGCACTAACAAATGCAGTAGAGAGTAATACTGCCACAGTACAGTAAAGGACCAATCCTTTCATAGTAGATTATTATACTTAAATTTCTGAATAGAAATCGTTATACACAAACCGAAAGCAAACTTTCGACTTGATTGACAAAATGTTTCGTTGGGCTTTATATATACATATTAATCAAAAAAAAAAAAATAAAATAAAAATAAAAAATTAATAAACGTTACGTTAAATCTTCTAAAAGATTTTGGATAAAAATCGACATGATTTTTGTTATTAATTTTATCAAATAAAAAATTAATTTTCCAGTTACACAAACGGAAACGTGAATTATTTATAATCCACAAAAATAATTATTTTTTGTTGTCGAATTAAAACACTGAGAAATATTAAATATTTCTGACTATTTTTTAATTGTGTATTTTTTTCCCCCCTCCTCTACCAATAGTATTTATTTCTATATTAAAATATGTTCGCATGTTCACAAGATCTTTTTGTTCTGATGTGAAAATTAATTTTTTTCCAATTATTTTATTTGCCATTGCCTCTTTGTTGTGAATTATTAAATAAATAATTAAATTTAATTGTCCAACTTGTTTGTTAAATATGAAAAATTATAGTTCTACATGTTATTAAATATTTATAAACAAATTTTTATATAAATTCCAACTAAGTATAAACTTTAAATATTTATGAAGATTTTATTTACAATATAAAACTTTTGTTCAAAATTTTGTTATATTATATACTAAAATATTTTAGATTATTCATTTCAATTTTTATTTTATTCATAATATACATATATTGTATGTATATGTACATATATATTTTTTTTTCCATACACTAGATTATATTTTTCATGTGTCCCAACCTCCATTTTTCCACGTTCTGGAGCTATGTCTCTGTCATGACTTTATATCTATATCCAGGTGTATTGTTTATATTTTAATTTCATATTAATAAATCATCTTTTAATTAAACGTTGAGTCTTAAGTTGAAGTAAATATGAAAACTAGTCATTAGATAGGTCGATTGAAGTGTTTGACAACAAGTTACCAGTCATAAATATTTGCATCCATAACGAAACCAGCTAAGGTAAGGATACCTAATAATAAAATAAAGTTGTTGCCGAATTAATAAAAACGCTTCCACTCTATGGTTGGGCTTGGTAGTTGGCAATAGAGTCTGTAGCCTTTTTCCAACAACATTGTTACGAGACCACCCTGTTTCTTTGCATGGTTCTCACAGAACTTTTCTTTAATTATACATATTTTTTATACTACAAGTATAAAATATAAAATACTCATATCTTAAAAATTTATTCTATTTTTATTTTATTTGTATTTTATT